CAAAACAGAAGAACTTAACATTTTTTTGTGTATCAACTAATAAATCAAGTGTATGGAAATTTAGATACTGACTGATCCGTTCTGAGTTTCAGTTCCTTGACTTTAAATGGTAACGTGTCCATAGCAATATTTACTTATTGTATATAAGTTTTTAACCATCGCCCAGTGTGATTGAAAAAAGTTGTGTTTTTAATTTTTCATCCTTCATATATATCGGTCAAAATGGCCATATTCAGAAGAGTATTATGAACACATGTAGGGGTGAAAAATTAAAAACACAACTTTTATCAATCACATTGAACTCGTAGTTAAAAAGCTTATATGCAATTACTAGTGTGACGAACCAGGACGAACCGAGTTAAGTTTGCTTACTGTATATATGGGTGATTTATCTAATGACACTGTCGGTGTTTCATATTAAATACAGTCGGATACTGTGATGATTAATGAATAAAGAGTTGGAGAGGCTGTCATGGCCCAAGTGGATGTATAACACCAACGTTTGTTTGAAGAGAGTAAAGCAAACCACAGGAAGCTTCAGTGATAATGGCGGCTCTTCGGGACGAGATTTGAAACCTGAACCACAAAAATACAATGTATGGATGCTACCAACTCGATCGATTAGTCTGATTTCTATAAAATTTAAATTTTATGCAATATTTTGGCGTGTCGCCTAAAAGTCGGAATATCTGTGTAAGAGAGGTCGTCCATTGTTAGACAACGGCGTGTTACAACATATGGCATGGGCAACAAGCTGGATCAGACCATTGCTGAGCAACGCTCTGTAAACAATACCTAAATGGAGGAATAGTGGAACCAGAGAAGGAATTATCCATTTTACTAGGCAAACGTTAATACGCGTTTCCACGACAACGCATATATAACAGACCGTTTCCACTGAAGTGAAAAACAGGACTAGTGCAGTTCCCGCGGCAACAAATACACTAGCCACCGGTGCAAATAACATGTGAAACGGGGTTCTTGAAGAAGGGGTCTTCTAATTCTTCCGACTGTAGAATATAAGAGATGAGACCGTGACCCTGCGAGTCGTAGGAGGCGACGAAAATGGAAGTCTCAAAATCTGAAACAGTAAAATATGGTCGCGATTCCCAAGGGACTCGGACCCGAGAAAGAAAACGCTGGAAAGGGAGAGCAGCCCTCTCGTCAGAGAGGGCGCCCCACAAAAACAGGGCCGTAACTGTCAAACAGTAATAAATATCTGTTCATGAGACCCAGATGGGGCTCGACACCAAGACTTACTGACTGACGGACCGTCAGTCGCAATGTGACTTTGACTTTGACCAGACCAGACTAGAGCGGAAAACAGATCAGAGGTGAACGAGCAGAGCTGAGAGCAGAAGAAACCAGCTCTTGGCTTCCTTTATGGAAACATTTGCTTCTCTACGTGGTGCAATGACAAATAGCCGAACCTCACTTACAATAGGTAGCGCAAATGACATCTGTCGCAGATCTTTCAAATTCCGTTCAGGCGCAGTGTCCGCGCAAGTAAGCAGCTCCAGTCTAGATATACTTCCTAAGACACAATAATTCTTAGGAAAACAAATGATTATAATTACCTCTGTACTTAATTAAGCACCACGCACCAAAGATGTATGATAGGTAAACGTATAGCTATCCCTGTAACAGGCAGTGGAAGCCCATGGGGTTGTGAGCCGTCGAGGTTCCTACATCTTCTAGAGTGTCGACACATGGAAGGCGGTGAATTTATCAGCCTTATGCGGCGGCCGCCCTTTACTCCCCAGGAAAATTCCTGGTACTCACTTCTGTTAGAGACTGGGTCGACCCCAGGGTCATAGTGCGGCTGGAAGAATTAGGTCAACTGAAGAATCCAATGACCTCATCGGGAATTGATCACGCTACTTACCGGCTTGTAGCCTTTTGCCACAACCAAGTACACTATCGCGTGCCCGCTATATATTGTAGTATCAAACGAACGGCGAACCACATGTTGCCGGCCCCAGACATGCTATTGCCCAATATCCGCCTGATTATTTTATAAAAATATATGTATGAAGTAAACAAGTGTGGACTTGGTCCACCGAACCTATGTCCTGTAATTTTCTATACTAAGACAATGTAAAAGGCAAGACTCAGTGCATAAGAGGGAGGTATGACGTCAGTTACCGGATGTCAAATTGTTTATAAACTCTCCGTAATCACAGGAGAGGGGGGATACTTTTCGAAGACTTGGTGCGGGCCGTCTCTATGCGACTCAGCTCAGCGAAGTGGACTTAGAAAATTTCAGCTCGCAGGGTTCTGGTCTTGCCTTCTTATAATCACTGGTGGTTGTATAAATTTCATCTTGTTTCATTCTTTTTTAATAAATCTTCACATAGTCAACTGCTCTGTAGTCTTGAGCTTTCACTCTTAAACGGCGTGAACCTCAGCTCCACAAATAAAATTTACCTTGGCTTCATCGGACTTCGCACTCCGGCTTGGAAGATCTCAGCCAACTGTACGGCGGGATACTACACTATGAGAGAATGAAGCCCCGGTACTAGCTGTACTGGCCATGGCCGCTTCATCCTGGACGAAATAGCTCCTGATACACAGTGGGCCCCAGAGAGAGTCTTAGCAATATGAAGATCGAAGTCTTCTGCTTCTACCGAGAAGTGGGCGCCTATTTTTCTGTTTCCCAGCAGGTAGCTTAGTCACTGGTTCGACAAATTCATGGAAAGGTACAATTCATATTTACGAGTTGCGAAAAATATGTATCTTTTTTACTCACAGAGATATAGGGTTTTCGGACTTTATCCATCGTCCTGGTTTTTAAGATAACTAATAAAAACACGACGTTTCGGAAACTGGATCTGTTTCTATCCTCAGATGAGGGTCCAGTGATTGAGGTTAGAGCTTTCTAAGGGACCCAACAGAATAGGTGTTTTTCACGCAACTGAGGACGGAAACAGATCCAGTTTCCGAAACGTCATGTTTTTATTAGTTATCTTAAAAACCAGGACGATGGATAAAGTCCGCAAACCCAATATCTCTGTGTGTTATACACCATCGTTAGAATCCTATAGTAACTATCTTTTTTACTGTTCCCCGTGCCACATAACTGTTTTCTTTAATGAAACTGCTTCTTACAATTTTATTTTGTTATATTAACCGTGTGGAAAATATAGATGGAATAGCGGCAAAGGTTCTAACACTATTTAATATTAGGCAAAATAATTTGGGTGTCGAGGTTATGACGGGCGAAGGATATAAATTTGATTCCGAGAATGAAATATTAAGGAGATCTAGGGTTCATCTAGAAGAATTTCGTTCAAAATGTTTACACTAGTAAATCAAAATTGTGTTAATCACCTACTATATGTTATGAACCAGCAAAAATTGTGAACGTCAGTCACTTCTCTGGCACGTACTTTTAAACCCCAGCATCAAAGAGGGGTGTCGTGTTTCTGGGTGGATGTCTGAGTTGAAAAGAAACCCAGTCACTTTCGGACATTCGGAGAATGACTGTTAACATATAGTTCAAAATATTGTAGCGTGTACATGCAACGACCGCAACATGAGCGGACATACCAGGGCCGTTTCTGGGCAACGGCTTGGTAAACACATTCCCGTTGCTAGGCAGCAGATTCTTAATAATGCAACAGTTGCACGAAAACAATGGAAGAGTTGTGATTTCTATGTGATCCGTATCGAGAAGTTATAAACAAATGACAAGGTCAGTTGAGAGTCAGTGCTGTACGGGAGTCTGTGAAGAGAGGACTTAAGCCGGAGGCAAAGGAATAGCAATTGTTGGAGTCGTTACCAGGAAACGACTAGTAACAGACTGAGAACATAAGACTGTGTGCTCTAATGAACTGTAAAATGTGGAAAAAACAATAGTGTTATATTTACTTGTACATAAGTTCTGCAAGCAGTCAGCAAATCTATTCACCAATCCAAATCCCATCACACATACTACGTGAGAATATTTTATCTCCTATTAAAGTACTCAAATTATGATTTTTTTTTTCTGATCTTCATTATGTACGTGAGCCTTGATCTCCCCTTCAAGTTGAATAACACAGAATGCGACACTTGAGATCGGGGTTCTGATAAGAATATTTGGATCTAAGAGAGAGAAAGTAACAGGAGGATGGCCGCGCCATAGCTCAAGCGGTTAGTCGCTGGCTTCCCACCGTGGCGGCCCGGGTTCGAGCCCGGGTCTGGCCAAGTGGGATTTGTGGTGGGCAAAGTGGCGCAGGGGCAGGTTTCCTCCGAATACTTCGGTTTCCCTTGCCAATCTTCATTCCACCAATTGCTCCACAATCACCCTCACCTATCATCTGGGGCTGGTACAATAGGCCCGAAGTGGCCGCAGTACAAGGGACTTAGTCCCACCCCACTAGCAATAAAAAAACCATGATATATAAAATTGCATAATGAGGAGCGTCATAATTTCTACTCTTCGCCAAATATTATTAAGCCGATCAAATTGAGGAAGATGACATGAACGGGACACGTAGCATGCATAGGGAATTTGAGAATCGAGTTCGGGACTTAGTCAAAATCCCGACGGAAAAAGAGTAAATAGAAAACTTATGTGTAAAAGCTTAACGAATTAACTAACAAGTGACGGGCTTCGACCGAATTCGAAATGGCGATAACTTTTGTTATGCAGACCAATACATTTTCATTCTTAATCATGTCAAGAATAAATGAGAAATGGTATCTTTCTACAAGGCACACTTAATAATAAATAGTTGTTAGCATGTATTTATTTAATATTACTGCACAAGATTAATATTTTTTGCTCGTCTCGATAAGGCAGTGTGCTACCATAAGCAATGTAGGGAGGTACACGTAGGGTCAATTATTTGCAGTTATAAAACACTGTTTTAACTTTTCCTCATAAAGACATACAGAAATAGTGACAATTCATTCTTGAACAACACACAGTAAGATTTCCAGAAATTATTCAGTCACGTGTGTTTGAACAAGATAAGATTGCCTAGAGCACTTGCATCCAGCGCTCTGAAAATTCATTTACATTGCAACTCGTCTGAGGAAACGTCATGCCTTGTAAGTAGAGCAGCATCAAGCATGAAGCAGTAACTGTGTTTGGCACCACTTAACGGAGAGCCTAGGATTAAGATACGGTGTCAAAGAGACGTTCATTCTGAGAAGCAGAACTTGTAAATCGTTTAATGAATTTCGTTAATACATGATTTGCACTGTGGAAATAACCAACACGACTGAGCACTTTCTTAGAAGCGACAGGAGCAGAGCTGATCAACAAATTCCCAGTTGATTCTAAAGGGTTATGACGAAGGTGTATAATAGTCACAATTACTGGGTTTTTGGACTTTGTCCATCATCCGGAATTCTAGAAACTAGAAAACAGAACGTTTTGGAAACTTGATCTGTTTCCGTCCTCAGTTGGGGCGAACACCTACTCTGTTGAGTCCCTTAGAAAGAGCTAATCGCAATCACCTGAAGACGGAAATAGATCCAGTTTCCGAAAAGTTGTGTTTTCTAGTTTCTAGAATACCGGACGATGGACAAAGTCCAGATACCTAGTAATTCTGAACAAATTACACCTCTCCAAACCCTCATATCCAATTTCTTTTAAGATAAATGTTGATATTATCCCTATATCTACGCCTAGATCTCGCAACTACTCTCTTTCCGCCAGGTTTTCAGACCAAAATTCTGAACGAATTTCTAATATTTACAATGCGTGCTACATGTTCCACACATAACTTCAGCTGTGAATGTTTTAAATAGACTTGTGTTATTCTTGTACAATTATATAGTTTTTCCGTTTTTTTTGGCTGATATGTTATATAAGGAGAAATACAGTGACGTCATCTGAAAGTAGTGAGATGCTGACTCTGCCTCAGGTACTTGCTGGATAGGAGGCAGCTTTGGATCAGTGCCTGATGGTGCTGTTCGTGCAGGTCGTGACAAAGATGGAGGGGCTCTCTTCGTCGGACGGGCTTACTTTGAGACCGACATTCTTCCTGCCAAAATAGTTCCAAACCATGGGGCCGCATACGTCTCCTTCGACGGACAAGAACATCAAGTCATGCATTACGAGGTAAACGATTTCACAGTATTCCGTCCGAACGCAGAAGTAGGGTGGCTAGCATTTCTGTTTCGATTTCGGAAGGTTGCATCTTAAAGTGTCTTCAGGAAAATCTAGTACGATGCTGTCTATGCTGACCACCTGTAGTGTTATTCAAATGCGGCCAACTTAAGCAGGAAGCCAACTTGCAGAACACAGTATTCAAATCTCCCATTTTTCAACGTACAGTAAATATTTATTTATATATTATCTCATGTTTGCTTTTGGACGCACCTTATTTACTTTGTGCCCGTAACTAATAAACAGATTATCTATGTATCTAGCCTGTCTCTCTATGGCGCTATAGCCCTTTGCTGGACCTTTGCCGGTTTTTAAGTTTTTGATCTTTTTACACAGTCGGTAGGACTCCTTGGACGGGGGATCAGCCCGTTGCAAGGCCACTACCTGCATACAGGACAGCACAAACATAGAATAAACGCGTAAAGATATTCACGCCTCAAATGAGATTCGAACCCACGAACCCAGCGTTTGAGCGGGCGAAGATGGTTTGTGCCTGAGACCGTGTGGACGCTGTGATCAGCACTTAGCAGACTACATGCCCAATACCAAATCAATATGCCTGACATGAATGTAAAAAGGACTATTATACTTACGAATTTTATGTTCAATCAAAAGTGAAAAGGCCGGTCACGGTAGCCGAGCAGTCTAAGGCATGTACTCTCTTCGCTTGCTTGGAAACCGGGATCGTGGGTTCGAATCCCACTCAGGGCATGGGTCTTTAGTTTGTGTGTGTGTGTGCGTTTTTCTGTGTTTGTGTACAGGTAGAGGCCTTGCGACGAGCTGATCACCCGCCCAAGGAGTCCTACCGAATGTGTAAAATCTAGAAAAACCGAAGTGAAGGGAGAAGTTCATGTAGGTAGGCCTAGGCCCACTGGGGCTGTAGTGCCAAGGGGAAAAAAAGTGAAAAATCCAGCAGGCATATAGCAAATATAATAACAAGAAATTTCACCATGTACTGGATAGTTAATTAACAACCAATCGATCTGAATGAAATAGAATGCGTGTTAACAGGTATATTCAAAGGAACGACGGTTCGAGACATTTTCATTTATACAGACTGGCGCAAAAGTCAATTTTTTGTGTGGCCAATACAGACAATTTAAGAATTGTACCGAACCGTAGCACAAACTGAAAGAAGAATCACAAAATACAAGCTTAGCTAACCAAGACAAAGAGAGTTGGTCGTGTGTAAATTAATAGTTTTCCGTTTCCTTAAAATCGCCGTTCATTGCGGCAGATGGTCGACGCGGCCTCCTTCACAATCTTCGCTGTATTACTGGCTTAATATAGACAGATGCGGCGTACTTCCTTATCGTTCCAATAAGTTACATCTTTCAAAATTATCCTTCTATTTAAATTTGTATAAACTGTCAAACTGACAGATAAAACATAAACACAGCGTGTTTGCATATATTCCTTATTTTCAACAGCGATCTACTAATTTGGTCGCATAAGAGAAATCGTTTACAATGCAGCTCGGTGCAGAGAGCATTCATATGTCGAAAGGTAATTACTGAAGAAACCGGAGCTTCGACACAAAGAGATCCAGGGTTTGATTCCCGTCAGAGGTGAGCGTTTGAACAACGTTCAGATTGGCTCTGTGGCCCGTCTAGGCCCTGTCCAATAGCACAGCGCGTCCCTTTTCCTGGGCTAAGCAACACGGGCATGAAGCTGACCACTCACCTCCACCTAGTGCTAAGGTTACGAATGCGTGGAGCCGTGCCTCCACTCCCGATACGTCCTCGTGGTGTGATGTTCGATTAAACATAACTTCACCTTTGCCTTTATTTAGTAATTAATTGTCCACTTATTACTAAAGTCCATTAACAGTTTTGTACTTCAAATAATTGCGTAATTTAACTTGTAAAATGGCACATGATATGTACTTTTCGTTAATGGCGTATTGAAATCGTTTCCCTGTGTTCCAGGTGCTGTGCGGTGGAGAGGCCATGTGGCAGGTTGCGAGTGACGGTCAGGTTCCGACCAACGCCTTCCCTGTAGGATCTACTAGGGACGGAGAGAGGCTTTATGTAGGCCGTGTCTTTCACGACGGCACCATCACTCCAGGAAAGGTAAATTCTTGAAAACTATGTTACTTCTACTTCCATCTTCCTGTATATCCTAATATACTTTGACGTGGATGGCGCAACAGGAAGTAGGGGTCACGTGAACTCTGCGTTCTCACGAGTGACGTCACAATACGATTCTGTCGTTCATGGGCAAAGGATTTAGTTATTGGGGGGGTTCTCTGATGATGTCACAGGCGAGAGATGGTTCAGTCCCATGCGTGAATTTGAAAAGTTTTTTTTTAATACAAAATATTCAGAAAATCATAACAGAGACTTCGTTAAATATTCTAAAATGACTCGACATTTTTATTATTTAAACGTGATAATTGAGTCCACTACTTCACAGAGAATGTTTCCTGGAATTCTGAAATTACAGCCGTCGTATAATAAGAATTCACAATCAGAATTATATGAAAAAATCACAAAGTTTGCTTTCATATTTTACGTCAAATTTCTTAAGTTGCTTATAAGGCAAATGTTCACTGCTTATGAGGCGTATTAACGAAAACTCTAGGTTACAGTTTTCTTTGCGGTCCTTCTAACCCTAAGTCGGTCAAGCCTACGACCGTTCATGCGTCTAACTGCAGTCTTGGAGTGATTAAACACGTAATTTAAGGCATAGCCTGCTGTTCGAGCCTCCATGAACAGAGACCATCCATATATCTTATATAAACACTGTTCATTACAGTAAAGTGAGGACCGTCTCTGTGGTCTAGTGGTCAGAATTCCTGGCTACGGACCCAGAGGTCCGGGTTCGATTCCCTGCGCTACCTGGTTTTCTGGAAAGGGGTCCACTCAGCCTCTTCAGGATAATTGTGGAGCTACTTGAATAGAAAAGTAGCGGCTCCGGTCTAGAAAACCAAGATTAACGGCCGTGGGGATCCGTTGCGCTGACCACGCGTCTCCCTCTATCAGCAAAAAGTTGGCACTAACTTCACCGAAAAGAGGAGGTCGCTCGGTTGGTACAGTTCGTTTGCGGACTACAGGCCAAGGAGTTTTATAGTAAAGTGATAAAATGCGTATGGCGTCCCTAAAGTATAAATACCCTAAACTGGACGCTGTGTGAGTGCGGATACAATCGGGCTGAATTACGGTGCAACAAATTTGGCGCCTATACAGAAAGACGAACCGCTCCTCTCGTCGAGGAGGTGGTTTCATTTCCAAACACATAAATTGGTCTTTGGAAAAAAGAATTGGTTATGAGTTCCGATGGGGTCCGAAACCAAAAATAACTGTACTGGCGAGGACCCATCAGCAATTTGCTGCTATTCTGTGTCATGTCATCTTGTGCTATGATATCCTCTATAACCGAAAAATGCCCACTGAGCCACAACTTGCTCTTCGCCGCTCCCTTCGCAACCACACGGTCATCGTGAAGAACACGGACTCTTTATAATGGAGACACTTCAGAATGTGAAGGATTTTCTTTCTCTGACGAGTTACTTGGATTTTTTTAAAACATATGTTTGCACTTTTTATCGTTCTTGAAGAATGTCACCTTCTGGGATGTAATGTTATGTAATTAGGCAGAAGTTGACAGACATTTCGGGGGAATATTTTGCCTCCATCTTCATGATACAATTGTGAGCGCAGTAAGTAACCAGCAAGAATCAGGCAGCAGCAAGCAGAATCAAGCACAGTTCTGCTTGGTAGTGTGGGAACTGCCCACATTCAAGCAAGTGTGACAACGCAAGCGTCATTGCTTAGCAATGCAGTAGCATACAGTAGTATGTCTGTGAGCCGATCACAGTGGCCGCGCTCGCTAAGGCATAAACTGTGGTTCGAATCCCACTTGAGGCACGGATGTCTGTGTGCGTTTGTTCTGTTTTTGTCCTCTCCTGTGTGCAGATAGTGGCCTTAGGATTAATTGATCCCCCGTCCAAGGCGTCCTACCGACTGTGTAAAAAGATCAAGAACTTGAAAAAGCGGCCAAGATCCAGCAAATGGCTGTAGCACCATAGATAGTTAACGGATGGACGGACAAACAGACAGTCTGTGAACTACTAGCGGACTACATCCCACAGAGTAGAACCCTCCAGAGTCATCTGTCTGAGAACTAAAAATACAAGTTGTTGTTGTTGTTGTTGTTATTATTATTATTGTTATCATTATTATTAATATTATTATTGTTCTGTACTTCATTAGTAACTAAGGAATTGGTATTAATTATTAGTTATTTCTATTGTTAATTCTTAGTTTGTAGATGCCAGAGAACCATTCCAGACAACATAATCATTTGCCCTCTCCTTTTGCAGGTGCATCCCAGTCATGGAGTTTGCTACATTCCGTATGACGGACTGGAGATACAATTCAAAGAATACGAAGTGCTCATTATGAAGTGATTAGTTTCCCATTCCATCATCAATATTGCCGTTTTGTTTTAAATATGTTTATAACGACTATACAGACCAATCTTCATGAACATTTCTTCTACAAGAGAAGCCAACGGCTGTATCTTCGATATGAATTAAACAAAAAGTATACAATGTCAAAAGGCTTCGTACTCTTCGACCTTAAATAAATGAGAAGGAAAAAAAATTAATGTGCAGTGACCATTTATGATGTTACAAGCTTACGCACTCCGGAAGTAAAAGCACTTAGAGGAAACTACAGGGTGAACCTCAAGCGTGGTANATAAATTGTGGGGGATAATGTTACTTGGAAATCCGGTTTAAATTGAAAGAAACATAAAAAGAGGTCCTGCGTGAATATGGAACGAGAATTGGACTGAACTGCCTCAGGAAATGGTCTAATTTCGGTCATTTATAAAAAGAAAAAAAGAAGGCAAAAGACAGATGAATGGAAGGATGGATACATACATACATATATATACAAACATACATATATAAATACATACTTATATACATGCATACTTACATATATGTAGGCCTACATACATACATACATCTGTACACACATACATATATACATACTTACACACGTGCCTACATACATACACACACACACACAGATGAACATGTAAACACACAGACATAGAGACAGAGAGACACATAGGCAACATAGAGGCAGGCAGATAGGTGAAGATCCTGAGCATAAACGTCTCTAAGATAAACTACTCTGAACGAAATATTTCTTTTGCAAGCTCACAAATGCAGGTAGTGGTTTCCAATTTGCTCTGTGACAGAAATAGAAAATATGCTCCAAAATATTCCAGTTCTGAAATCATATTAGGCCGATTATGAATGCCGGCAGAGAGAGAATGTTTTATAATTTTCAAAAGTTAACTCTTGGAGGAGAAAAAAGAAAAGTTTTATGTAATTGTCGCGTTCCTTTGTTCACATTTTCTACTCGAAGTCGAGGAACACCACGTAGAGATGAATCTGATGACAAATCCGTGCTATTGCTTACGTAACGTCGTTTTTATACCTTCAAAGTGGAAGACCAACTTTCTGAGTTGTTAGTTTACCGTCAGAAAGTAGTGACTTTACGTGTATAATAATGGGGGGGGGGGCGGAGCGTAGCCGCAGAAGAGAAGAAAATACTTTATTTTAAACTCGCATTTGAAGTTTGATGATTCTGATGTTTCCTTACTGTCCACAACGTCAGTAGTTTCTTTATTTATCCACTACTAGCAGTGTAGGTCTCTGTTTCTTGCAATTATATATGCATATGTTACGTAATTGGTAAATACCTCTTCTCTGCTCTGGTTTTCAAATGACTGCACTCTAAATAAATGGCCAATTCCTTACAATATGCATATTTAATAAATTATTACGTAGTTACATGTGACTACATATTTTTTCCTTGGCACTACAGCCCCAGTGGGCCTTGTCCTACCTCCATGAACTTCTCCGTTCACTTCGGTTTTTCTAGATCTTACACATTCGGTAGAACTCCTTGGGCGGGTGATCAGCTCGTCGCAAGGCCTCGACCTGTACACAAACACAGAAACGCACACACAAAACTAAACATCCATGCCCTGAGTAGGATTCGAACCCACGATCCCGGTTTCCAAGCGAGCGAAGACAGTGCACGCCTTAGACCGCTCGGCTACCGCGACCGGCCTGTGACGACATATAGGCTGTATTAATTATCTTCATCGTCTTTAACAAATATATAAACAATAACAGAACATTTCATCATTCATAACGACATATGAAATTTATGCATATTATTGTTCTGAGGCTTCCCCCCCCCCAACGTGGAGGACCAGGCGACCGTATTTATATCTCCCAGGGATAGGATGGCCAGGCAGCTACACTCCAAGGGAAAGAGCACCCGGTACCCAGGCTAGATAAGCCCCAGAGTCAGTCTGAACGCTGTGGAGAAGAGAAAAATCGTTTGCCCTTGCCGCAAATCAAATCCCCAGTCGTCCAGCCGTAGCCCGTAGCTAATTCGACTGGGCCATCGTGGCTGGTATAAACACCCTATAATATAAGAGGAGAGGATCAATCACAAGCCATGATAATCACTCTAGTTAAGCGGCTTCGGGCTCAGATTCGCTGACCTCAGCAATAAGTCAGGATGTTAACGGAAGCACTGACCCATAGGGAGGATTTAACTCGCGGACTGACGTTCTATGGATGTATTTCCATAAGGCAATTAATTGAAGAAGGAGCGTCAGAAGTGCTCTGTTAATATTGGCGAGCGGGGCTCGATATGCTACGTAAGCTTTTCGTTGAAACAGAAAAAGCGTCTCAAGGGCCCAACTGCTAGAGTTCAGCCAAGTCTCCTAATAATTTGACACCACAATTCTTGGATTCTAGTTTCCGAACTCGTCTTTACAAAATGTTATCAGGATGAAGAAACCAAGGAGGCTGAGACGAACGGGTATGTCGCCTGCATAGTGTGCATAAGAAATGCATAGTCGTAAGTACGTGTAGTTTGAAAGATAATATTAATATGACTGTTAAGAAGCAGTTTGTGGCTACGTGTATTGGATTCAACTGGCTCAACATACATCCACGAGGGGGGAACTGTTGTGAACAAAATAATAACTTTTCGGTTTTCGTAAAAGATGCGACATTTATTGACCAGCTGAGCCACTCTGAAGCAGGACTGTACTCAAAGGAATTAGAAACACTTTTATTCTGTAGTTCTAAAGAGTAACTTGATCAACTATAGGGGTGTACAAAAGCAGAGAGTGTTTAAAACAAACCGCTTGGGAAAAGCAGGCACAGGTGGGCCTGTCTATTTAAGTTACAACGCAGCTGTCAGTATCGAGGAATGCAGAGTGGGATCATAAAATGTTGGATGAAACATTAACTGAAAATAATTTCAAGGAACGCAGTCTTGACCTAATTGAGGTACTATCCTGTCATTTGCTTGGAAGAAAAAAGCAAGCAATCAAACAAGTTTACTAGCAAAGAAACGCTTCAGTTAGGACAACCGGTGCCTCAGCTGAGATTCGAACCGAGCAGCTCCCAAACACAAGTCTAGAGCGTTACCGATGTAATAACCAGTTCTGTCTGCTGTGAACACCTGAACCTTCTGGTTCCATAAAATGCCTAAAAGTCGGCTTCAGGTTTTGCTCCAAAGTTAAGAAATTTTGGTAGATATAGGGGTGATAATAGTGCAAATGTTGACGATAGAATTAGAGGGTCCTAACCTGAAGAATACGGCCCCTTTATTATTATTATGGTTCTATGGCCCTTTCTAGGGCCTTGGCCACTTTTTCAGTTTCTTAATCCTACACACGCTCGGTAGGACTCCTTGGACGGTGTATCAGCCCGTCGCAAGGCCTCTACCTACACACAGAACAACATAAACATAGAATAAACGCACACAATTCAGATATCCATGTCTAGAGTGGGATTCGAACCCACGATCCCAGCTTCGGAGCGAGGAAACACGGCTCATGCTTTAGGGCTCGCGGCCTCTGTGATCGGCATGGCAGTCTGTAACTCCGCCTAATAGTAAATTATGATAGTTTTACGCGAAAAAGTACGAGTAGTTATGTAGTGGAAAAAAGAAGTTTCAAATGACTCACCCAACTATGTACTTCGGTAGTTAATAGTTTGATATCATAAAAACAAATGGACAGATGCGTTTCAAATAGACCTACTTTTGCAAACTGTATTTCTAGCTTTACACTAGAATTTGAAATCGTTTCCGTTACTGAAGAAAACAGATTTACTGCATATTACCGGGCGAAAGAAGATGCTAAGAAAAGAAAATAATATTCCCTGTTCTGCCGCAAACCAAAACATGGTCCTTCGATCCAGTTTACATCACAGATTGAACTAGTGGGGCTCATATGCCAGTCTTGCACCTACTGGATATTTGCACTTGTAAGGAACGTCCATTCAGAACCACTACACATAGTTCGACTGCGCCGTTTTAAACCAAATAATGAACTTGTAGACTGTTTTTTTGCTCTGACTTCGAAATTACATGTGTATCAGTTCACCGTGTCTCGCAGTTAGAAGGGAAATATCAGTTGAGTCAATATCAGTCAGTTCTGATGTGTAACAATAGGAGTATCCTCCATTTTCTATGGCACAAAAGAAAGACGCACTGAACCAAATGAATTACAGGAAGTTCTACGTTTTGTTCGGCAGTTTTATAAAGCCATCTCTTAAAGCCTGACTGGAAACTTGTCAGCAACGCATCAAAATGATTATAAAATGAAGCTTAGGACAGAACTGTTATAAAATTGTATTATTATTTTGTTGTATGTGAAAATGTCTCTCAACCTAGGGACAACTGATCATCATACTTTAACACTACAGACGATAACTCCAGTCAGATAAAAGTGTTCTTATGTCTCGTTCTGTCGGACCCTCAAAGAGATGTCTGTCGCCCTTGCTCTCGTGTGGGCACTTGGATGGGAAAATACTGTATCTCTCTTGTGCCAGGTCTGAAGCATCAGATGACTAAATCTTTCATTTTTAAATCCTTATCCAAGATCTTACGTGAAGTATATTGCCACCTTGCCTATATGCGCCCACGATCGACAGAAATAAGACAGGGTAAAGCAAAAGAAGACGGCCAGGATTTATTCCACGGCTAGGTGACACATTTCCACTCGAACCAAAAGAGCACAATTCATACAGTATATGTGATACGTAATACGTTACAACCTGCCCTAATGTTTGGGTTCTCCCCACTATTGAAATAAGTTATTTTTATTTACTGTCGTTCTGAGAACCAGAAGTCAGCGAATTACATCTCTTCTCGACTCAGATTATGGGGGCGAAGATAGTTTTTGTCGCTTTGGGGTGACAGAGACCTCTCTTGGAAAATGAAAGACGAAGGTTCAATCTTCGTTGGTGTACAAAGTTTCACGTCAATTGAAATATATCTTTAGTCCATGGAAACAGGTGGTCACTCCTATCTGGACCACAAAACCTCCACATTAACAGCTAAAGATGGTTCATTTGTTTCCACGGCGATCATTCTCTATACTCCAGCAGGTATGCCGATAAAATAGTGTGTTGAAGAAAGCTGTCTTCTGGGATGTGGCGCCGTGTAGATATTTTATTAACTGACGTTTCGGAGGAACCTATCTCCTCCATCTTCAGGGTAGAAGAAAAGAAGAATCCGCAAGCGAGGAACCAGCGTGAGGAGGTGCTGACAGACTACTGTCGAGTCGAATAAACCCAGCTGTATAAGAGAAGGAAGAGAAGGGAGAGGGGTTACGTGTGAAAAGTAGAGAGGAGAGGGG